AGAAAGTATAAGAAGATTTTCATCATGATAAAACAAGTGTACCATTATGATAAAACTAAGCATTATGGGGGTTACTCCGAGAGTCGAAGTGACTTTTGTATCTAGTGAAGTAAGAAAAGTCACGTCGTGGTAACGTCGAGGGCCACGCAATACAAAGAAGCGGTGCGTTGCAGTTAAAATGTAATCAAAAGTACTTAAAGTAATTAATGCGTTTTGAAGTAGTACTGACGGTAATTAAAACTATCTATCCGTAATTAATGTAATTAAAAGTATTGACAATGTAATTAATGTACTTTAATTACGAAATTTCGACTGTAATTAATGGAGTTAAAAAGTAGTTAATGTTCTACATTGTGTGATTAATGTAATTAAAGCAGCAGTTAATGGAATTAATTTAATTAGAGCCGTTGCCTGCGTTAGAGTTAAAGGTTATTGCGTGCCCCTAGGGTAACGTAACTCACCATTTGATTTGCATCCCACTTCACTAGTGACAAAAATCACTTCGACTCTCGGAATAACCTCTATGTTACCTCTATGGAATAACCCCCTATATGTATGGGTAACATTAGGTAAACATTATTGTTCTAACGAAACAGGAGAGTTCAGTGATATTAAAAATGCTATGCTATACCTATAACTAATGCTATAACTAATCACCTAGTTCTTACATCATTCTGAGAACTTAAGAGTAGACCTGGAATAGATCATTATTTAACACTATTTATTCTAAAAATCCTAAAAATTATTTTGAAAAAGGCAAGTATAAATAAATGTTGGGTGAAAGTTGGTTTCTATATATATCCATTAAACCAGGACTCCACTGTTTGGTAATTTTTGAACAACGGAGCTGTTCGGTAAAAGTTTACAAATCAGTGAAAAATTTAAAAAAAATTGGAAATTTATACCAAAAATGTTCGGACCAAGTTAACCTCTTTTGAACAATACAAAACCAATTCGTAGATTTTATTGATTTCCTTCGAGTAACGGTCATTTGAAATTTTTCCAATTTTTTCAGCTGTTCAAAAACCCGGCAAAATTTACCGAATTCAGTGTGTAGCTAGTATGTTCAATATATACAAGTTCAGCAATCGTTTCTGTTTGGACCCGAATGCAAACATGAACTCTAAACACACTTTCTTTCGCTGATCCATGTTTCTTGTGTGGGGAAATTGGGACAAGTAATATTGACTTCAATACATTGAGGTCAAAAAGACTTCTAACGTATTGCCATTAATGTTGTCAATATTTGTACATCGATGATATTGATGGTGAAATTGACGGTTTTTTGTCAATACATTCTGAGTATTGACAAAGTGAAATTAAAATCAGCTTTTCGTCAATACTTGACATCAATCGTCGTCTTCAATATCACCTTTTCAATAATATTGTCAGTATGTCAATTTATTGTCAATATATTGATATGTGTAATGGGCGCTATACAACGAACAACAAAAGCCATCGCAACGTTTCAACAACAACCGGTTGGTCTCTGCATATACGTCTGTCAAACGGATCGTGTCAAACTACAGTGAGATCAGATTTATAGTTGGTGCTATCGTTCCCAGAAGCTCCTTGTGTTTGGTAGATTATATGTTGTGGTCTGTCGATGGTATCGATTGCCCAGGCGCTTATTTACGAAATGTCCAATCTAGATGAAGAATATGTCTGCTCTATTTGTGAAAAAAGTGAGAATGACCTGTCACGGATGATCGAGTGCCTTTATTGCAATAAAAGCTGCCACTTTCGCTGCAAGAAGATTTACGGAAACGCGATTTCTAAGGCAAGGAAAAACCCTTTTTCTGCTCTGTTGAATGCATTGATATGCACAGCCGCTCATGTCAGCCCAAACAATCCAATGATCTCGATGTTATTACCGAGTTGCGGTCGCTCAACCAGTCGATTCAGGAAATCAAGCAGAAGTCGTTGCAGTTTCGAGCTGCTTTTGAAGAAACTAGGGTTCAAATGGCTGCGTCGATGGCTACTCTGGTGGAAACAAACAAGCATATTGAGGAGTCTCAAGGTTGAGGTTTCAACATGTTCAAAGAGGAGCTATGTGGCTTGAAGAGAGATAACTCTAAGTTGTCTAAAGAAGTACAGGAGTGTCAAAACAGAAATCAACAACTTGTCTCCACTGTGTACGACCTAGAGCTCGACCTCGATAGAGTGAATCGTTTGCTGTTGGCGAAAAATGCAGTTATGTTGGGGGTTCCTGCGTTGGAAAATGAAAACACCAAGGAAGTGGTACGTTGTGTGATGAACGCCGTTGGAGCTTCGTATAGTGCTGCTTGTATCGTGGATGCTAGACGTATTCATAGCAGGAATGATCGTGGTAATACAGCGCCAATCATCATACGGTTTGTCGACGAAAACAACAACGAGGCTTTTTTCGAGAAGAAGCAAGCTCATGGGGTCAACGAATCGGGTCACTGTACGTGACGAAATAGCATCCTTCGGGAAAGATCTTCTTCAAAAAACAAAAGATTTGCAGAACTCGTTAGACCTCAAATACGTGTGGATGGGAAGAGATGGCAAAATACTGGTGAAACGTCACGACGGCGCAAAAGTGGAGAAAATTTCATCGCAGAAGGATCTCGAATCACTATCGAAAGCATCTCAGAAGTGGGCACTCAACTCATCCGGAAACAACTCAACCCCGTCACTACAAGGACCATCACCAAAACGGTTCTTGGCTTAAATATAGCCTTAAATCAGTCGTAAACGTTTAAATTCCGAATTCGATAATAAGAACTATTATTTCAATGCGGTTACTGATCTAAATAAAAACCTACCAATACAATCGGACCGTGTTTCGATTAGAGTCCTACAATCCAATATTAGAGGCATGAATTCGCTTGAAAAATTTGATAACATTAAAGAATTGTTGGCAGTTTATTCTGGAGAAATTGATATTGTGGTAATTGGAGAGACTTGGGTGAAAGATGATCGTCGACAACTTTATAGCATTGATGGATACAAAAGCACTTTCTCTTGTCGTCCTTTGTAAGACAGTCGTTGATATACGATGAAATTTTAAATGAACACATTTGTGGGTTCCACCACATTCACCTTCGCCTTGCTATGAACGGTTCACACTTCGATGTGCATGACATGTACAGACCACCTTCATTCGACGTAGCACAGTATCTTTCAACTTTGGAGACGGTTTTATCAGATGCAAGAAGCGGATCATCTTGTATTGTGGTTGGTGATGTCAATCTACCCGTTAATCATCCGAACAACAGAGCAGTTGAGGAATATCTAAGTGCACTGCGTTGTTATAACTTCAAAGTAACGAATACATTTCCAACAAGACCGATCAGTAGCAATATTCTAGATCATGTGGTTTGTTCTGAATCTCTGCTGAACAACGTAGTCAATGAAACATTTTTTTCCGATATTAGTGACCATTGTTTCGTGCTTTCCACGTTCCAGAATCCCAAAATTGTGAACAAGCGTGTTTTGGAGAAAACTATAGTAAACCACGCAAAGCTACACGAAGAATTGGTTGACGCCACCAGGTCTCTTCCAACTGGATCCGCAGAAGCAAAACTGCAGTATATCATTAACCTGTATCAGGAATTAAAAGAAAATTGCTCAAGGAAAATAACGGTGCAAGCAAAGATAAAAGAGTCGTGTCCATGGATGATCTTCGATCGGTGGAAAATGATTCAAATAAAAGATAAATTCTATCCAGAAGCAGGAGACACCCTCTCGATACTTCCCTCCAGGAACAACTTGCCCATGTATCGAAAATGCCTCAGCGAACAAAAGAACAAGCCAAGAGATCATACTACAGTAACCTACTCCGTGATCAACATCCAAAAAACATGAGGAAAATCCTGGATCAAGTGCTAGGTCGCACATTTGATGAGCAGCAACAAATTGAACTCGAGCATTGCGGTCGTAGCGTTAAGGATCCCAAAGATGTAGCTGAAATATTCAACAAGTTCTTCGGTGGAATCGGACCCCAGCTCGCCTCCAGCATCACAAGTCGTCGAGATATCACCAAGTTTGAAAGTTTGAGACCCACCAGGAACTGCTTTTTCATGAGACCCAAAACGAAACAGGAAGTAATTGTGGAAATTAAAGAACTTGACAGCTCCAAGAGTTGTGGACCGGATGGTATTCCAGCATTAAATAGTTTGCAAATGGATGGAATTTTATTTTCCGAAATTTACGATAAACAGTGATCACGGTACTGTAGTTTTGACTTTGTAGTTTTTACAGGAGCTCAAATTGTCGGGTTTCTGAAGCTGTATAGATGATAAGGAGCCTCCCAACCGCAACATTTCATGTCGGAAGCGATGGGTTTAATTCCCGGTCCAACTAAGGAATTACTTATTATTACCAGCATTGAATTTCAATGAAGTGAACTCAAAACTAGATAAATCGAGTCTCTAAATTTTAATTTTACATTCATAGCGTGTAGAGTTGCACAACACAACAATAACCCAACTCGAATATCACCTCCCCTGACCCAGTTTTGATATACGCTAGCCAACCTGATTGGTTCGGGCATTCGTATCCGCATATGGAAAATACATAGTTGCTGGAATCGTACGATGAAAATGCCATTAAAAACTTTTCCAGATTTATGACTGTTTAGATCACAACCGTTTCCCACCTTTGTTGTACGGTGTTAGAATTACCAAAGAACAGAGACCGAAAACTGAAGGTTCCCAACTCACCCACACACTTTCGAATGTAGCTCCCACAAAAAGCATTGCGTACGTGCCTGGTTAGTCGAAGTTTTCAGTTACGTCCACCGGGACTCGTTTGGAGGTAGTTAATAAGTGTTGGAAGTGGGTCACCTGCCACGCCGTGGTGGTGGAAGGATCTATTTTTGCTTTGATACATAACAGCCTATTCTGAATAATTTACGACTCCCGGTAGTTTGTTGGAATAATTTTAATTTTAAGGTCTACGAATCCTTGAATGTTTAATTACTTTTTACGTTTCGTAATCACCCCGTAATGTTAAAGAAAGAATAAAAAACTTACCGAGCCGGAATGGTGATGGCTGTGGCCATGGTGGCTTCCGCTTCCCGCAGCCGCTGCTGACGCCTGCTGATGCATATGTTGATGATGCTGCTGCTGCTGGATCAGTGTCATTTGCTGTTGGTACTGCTGATGATACTGATGTTGCTGTTCCACACTGCCGCCATGCCGATGGTGGTCTGCCGACTTTGGCGACATCAGCTGGTGCGAGTGATGCGATTTAGAGGCTTTCCCATTGCCAATCTCTCGACTGGCACTGTGCGACAGTGTTGCATGGGACGGCGACGGGTGATGGCCATGGACATGGCTATGACTATGGCCATGATGCACCGTCGGAGGTGATGGCATATTGTGACCACTGTGTGGCAAATGGGACGTATGGTGTAGTCCCACCTGATGGCCATGGTGATGTGGAAGATGACCCTGTGCCGCTTCCAGCAGCGTGGGTTGTATGTGTGTCACAAACTGAGCCATGGTTGTTAACTAAACGTCGCACACACTAGGACACGGCACTTGAAATGATTTTATTCCACCGTTTAATTAATTTTTTTGGTAAGGAACTTCTTTAACGATAACTTTACACGTGTAAAAATTTCAATATAACGTGGTAAGGTAAGAGGTTTGTATTTGCTTCTAGGACTGGATCAAAAGCGACGAGTAACAATTTTTCAAGCGACGAGTAACTGCAAGTAAAGGGAGAATAGGGAATTTTGATTAGAAATTATTTGAATTATTTTTGGACCTAATATATTGAAGAAATGTATGACATTTATCCTGCCCACGAACCACATGTGTATAAATCTACCTGAATACTCATGGGATAACAACAGCAATCATGCAATCCTGCTACCAATACAATCTCTGTCAATTCAAATAATTGGCACCGAAGCCAGTTCCATCAAACAACCGTGTAGCTAGCATGTCCCTCGCTCCCTGGCAGCATGCCAGCTCGCACTGCTTCCTGTCGAATCTCACTGGCTGGTAATCTGATCAACTCCGTTTCGACGACAAGTCGCCATGGGACAGATACATTGCCAGTTGATTGAGTCGTCGTTTCGTATCGAGCTGGAGGAGTTGGCTCCAGTCATCTACCGCAATAAAAAATCACCCCCATCCCACACCAGTCATCCCGAAACAGTGGGCGTCGACGACACAGTTTCAATACAAAACCGAAACCAGTGACAATGGTGGGCACGGTGGGGGATACCGTTACCCACTGACAACATTGTCGCGCCTATATCCTAGAGTTCGATCAATTTGGCGCGCCATGAAAATTCATATCCTTTTTCGCGTAGCTGATGTTCCAGGGCTTCACAACAGTCCCGTTCTGATGGCGGAATAAATCGCACGATTTATTGCCCATTAGAGCTTGATTGAAATAAGCCTGGCTCTTTACGGTCCGTTTCGAAGCATTTTGTTAGGATTCTGACGTGCAGTGCTGTTTGGTGCGGAATGATGTTCACACATTTACAGAGCGCATCATTAAACGGAATACATTTTACAGCAACTTTAGTTTTTAGTTGTCTCAGTCATTTTTGAATATGGAACATGGGGCTCGGTGACCAAGTGGTTACCGCTTCTGCTTACTGAGTAGAGGATTGTGTGGGTTAAAGTTCAGATCTGCTCTACACAGTCTACCCTTTTTGTTTTAACCCCTATGTGTCAGTGTTCCACTGGTAGGAAGTAATATATATCCCCATATAAAAATTAAGAGAAGTGGGAATAATTCACTTTCGATGCATATTTAGGTCAAAAAAAGGGAACGACAACAGTCAGGGACTTCGTAGTTCAGTTTTATTTTCCTGGACATTATTTTCAATAAAAGTGTGTTTTACTTCGAATGTAAAGTTTACGATTTTCAGAGTTGGGTGGAAATGCTATACTTCTATCAACATGAAGCTTTAGTGCGATAATGTATTAGCTCGAGAAAGTTCTGAAGAGGATAGATTGATAGTTCCGCTAGAGTACGGCAGTGTGAAAACTTAGGTTCAATTTTCACCCTGCCGTACTCTAGCGGAGCTATCAATGTATCCCTTGGAATAAATTATCGACGTCAGGACCTATCGCGGCACACATATCGATTCGGACCACTACCTTCTAATGGTCAAGGTGCGCCAAAAACTTTCCGTTGCCAACAACATTCGGTACCGACGCCCGCCACGGTACAATCTGGAGCAGCTGAAGCTGCCCGAAATCGCAACTGAGAACGTGCAATGCCTCGACGACTCTTGAGGACTGCTGGAGCAACGTGAAAGCAGCCATTAACAGCGCTGCTGAAGGCGCCGTTGGGTTCGTGGAGCGGAATCGACGGAACGATTGGTTCGACGAAGAGTGTCAGACGGTTTTGGACGAGAAGAACGCAGCGTCGGAGGCGATGCTGCAGCAAGGAACCCGTCATAATGTGGAGCAATATAAACAGAAGCGAAGACAGCAAACCCATCTTTTCCGGGATAAGAAGCGCCGCCTGGAAGAGCTGGAGTGCGAAGGAATGGAGCAGCTGTATCGTTCTCAAGAAACACGCAAGTTCTACAAGAAACTCAACGAATCCCGCCAAGGCTTTGTGCCGCGAGCCAAAAAAAAAATGTTCCCGCAATACCATTCCAATAGCAAATTAAGCAAATGCAATACCAAAACGATACCATTTTGGTTTCCAAATATCAATTTTTGTTATTTAGAAAGTATTTTGCATGTAAGGTTTTGGTATTATTCTTTGGTATTTTACCTCTTAGGCCGTGGCCAGGGTAGACGCGACACGCGACGCGACGCGATGCGACTCACGTAAGAAATAATAATAAATAATAAGATTCTTTTGAATTGGTCGTGTCGCGTCTACTCTGGCCGCGGCCTTATGTCAGGCTGATCAGCACCAAATTTTGGTATCAGGTCAGAATAAGGTATTCATAAGTTATTTTCTCTTGCTCAAGTCGCGAAGCTCGGTGATGACCCAGGACTCGGTTAGGGAAGCTTCGGTGAACGAACATTGAACAAGATTACTGTTCTTCCCATCGATGGGAATTACCAACCAGCTGTGACGCTAAAGTGCATCAAAAAAAAGGAAGAAGAATCGGGGCAAATCCGATGGCACGATTGATCAAGACGATGTCACTGCGATCAACGTCAGTGATATCGGAGATTTCGGTGACGATACCGATAATGACAATGCTGCCAACATGAGTGCGGCAAAAGTGAAGCTGCCTCTGTTGGTAGTGGAAAATTCTCATCTGAACGAGCTCATCGTGGATCTGGCATCGCTGAGCGTTAAAGCCGAATTCAAATTGGGCCGAGTCGGCACCAAGAATTAGAAGTGGGATTCTTCATCCACAAAATCCCCGGTGAGAAACCATTCAAGGTCGTCATCAGGGGCCTACCAAACTTCGACCCAAAGTTCATCGAAGCTGAAACCAGGAATCGGTTCAAGCTGGCCCCATGTGCCGTCTATCGGATGGCAAGGAGAGACGAGAATGTGAAGGCGTATCCGGATTGCCTTTTCCTGGCACATTTCCAGAAGGGAACGGTGACGCTCAATGCGCTGAAAGCCATCCACTCCATGAATTCCATCTTTGTTCGCTGGTAGCCATACCATGGCGGCCATCGTGATGTGACTCAGTGCCAACAGTGTCTGAACTTTGGACATGGCACCTGCAACTGCAACATTGAGCCACGCTGCGGAAATTGCACTCAAGACCACGTCACCTCCGAATGTGCTGCTGATAAAACTGTGGTGTTGAGGTCGTCGTCAAGAAAGGAATCAAGTTCTACACCTTGCCTCACATCCACACTTCTATCATTGAGCCACTTAGTGTGGAGGTGGAAATGTCCGGTTCATCGTTATTTACTGCCCTCGGCAGTGTGCCGCCATCAACGGATTAGCAAGCAAACGATCTGACCAACATCACTCGTACTAGCTCCCGATTCATCGTTGGGGGCAGGGTTGCTTCCACTCACTTGCTATAAAAAAATATTTTTCGGAATTATGCAAACATTAGATGTTTTAATGATATGTTGTACTTGTAAGTAACAAGAAGAGGGTGTAAAGTATGTGTTTGATTTATAAAACCTGTCAATTTCAAGATCTTATGATTCGTGAGCGTTCACTCAGAGTGAGCGCTCACGAGTCGTAAAATCGCTGATTGTGACGCACTGAAAGCAATATTGACAGATTTTATGTGTCAAACATATACTTCATGACCTCTTCTTGTAACTTACAAGAACTAATTAGCATTATACTATTTCATGATTTTATAATTCTGAAAAACATTTTTTTATAGCAAGTGAGTGGAAGTAACCCTGGTTGGGGGCGACCTGAATGCCCGCTATAAAGGTTGGCGGTACTACCAGTGGAACCGGACGGATGTCTTTTGTTCGATCACGCACAACATGGGCTGTACACTGTGCAGTTTCCGAACGAACCAACATTCATCTCTCCGGCGGGAAATCCCTCCACCCTGGACTTTTTCCTGTCAAACATCGGACTATCCAAGCCGGAGGTGCACAACGATCTCAGTTCCAACCACTGCACAGTGGTTTGAATGCTCAATATCACGAACTTTTTTATTTGCGCCTTCAATGTCGGTTTTTTCACTATGATGTCTTTAGAAGAGTTTTTGCATAACATAAGGCGCAAAGACTAGTGATTGGTTTTAGTTCGGAACTCCACCACATGCGGCGCTGCAAAATCTAACTTTTTACATTTACAAGATAGATATGTGGTGTCTTCAGCAAAGTTGTAGATAATTTTACTACAAAAATCTTTGCTCAACACACAAATACTCTGTATTACTTAGTTTTTGAGATACGTAGCGTTTAATATGACTGTTCAACAAAATTAAATTTTTTTCAGTTTTTATAACATATTTTAAAAACTATAGGTTTTAGAAGACTATAATGTTGAACAAATATTTGTATTTTATCACAATACAAAACTTTGTTCAAAATGTCCAAAAGGTATCGATTACACAGACTGAGTTATTCACAAATTTAATAAAATTTTTTACATATTTTGTGCCCTCACAGACAAAATTCCGGCAAAATCCGGCAAAATCCGGCAGGTGAATCTTTAATAGGATGAAAGCTTGTTCAAAAGTGATCTCAAATTCCATTGAAACATTTGTCCCTTTTAGTATCCTCGTTGATTGATTTGTATTTTTAAAAGGTCGTTCCGTAGTTCAGTGACAGCGCGCATTTGTCAAAGACTGAATCAAAGTAGGCTCAGTGATAATATAACAAAGTTTGGCCACACATTGATCGGTTTTGCAGCATTAAACGCATATTACTTAGAAAATAATCCTTTTATAGTGAAGTGAAGGTTATTTTTTCAACATTTCCGTAGCAGATCCCAAAAGTGAGAAAAGCATGTCTTTCAACAAGGAAGGTAAGTACAACCATGTAGTTAATAAAGTATTCAGTGTTGATTCCCAATTCATGATATAAATGAGTTATCTATGAAAGTTATTTGTTTGTGAAAATTTCAAAAATAGTTTAAATTATAAGTTATCAAATAAAATTTCAGTTGAAATCGACAGGCGAAAGCTTTTTAAACTGTGGAAAGAATTTAGGGAAACGACATTGATAAATCAAACCTTGTGTCGAGAGAAGTTTTTGACTGTTACGGCATTGAAACATAATCAATGCCGTAACAGTCAAAAACTTCTCTGGACACAAGTGGCAGCTGAAATCAACCATT